TCCTGTCAATCCTGTGCCAAAGCCTAACAAACCTGGCGTATGGCGTTTCACACAAGACTTAAGGCAAATTAATGCAGTCATTATGCCTCTACCTCCTCTTGTCCCAGATGTCCCCAGCATACTGAGCATCTATTCCAGCAACAGCCACACATTTTACTGTGGTGGATTTGTGCTCCGCCTTTTTCTCAGTACCTGTGCATGAGGACACACAGCCCGATATTTGCTTTTACAATAGAGATAAGCAGTACACATGGACTCGCTTACCCCAAGGCATGGTAGACAGCCCTGCGGCTTTCTCAATGGTGGTACGTGCTACCCTGGACGGCTTCATTCCTCCAGAGGCTGTACTCTGATCCAGTATGTAGATGATCTCCTCCTCTGTGCTGAAAGTGAAAAACTATGTCAAACTGCCACACACATGCTACTCTAGCACCTCCAACAGACTGCCACAAAGCATCAGCAAAGAAAATGCAGTACTGTTCAGACTTTGTTCATATTTGGGATTTACACTGTCTCACGGACAACGTTCCATGACTACAGACAGGGTCAAAGCTGTGACCTCTGTCCCTAAGCCCACTACACAGAAGGAAATGCTGTCTTTCCTAGGCATGGTGAACTATTGAGACAGTGGATACCAGACTGTTCTTTTCATGACCACATTCTGCGTGAATGCTGCAAAAAAGACAAGCCTCCTCGAATACTGTGGTCCACAGAAATGACTGCCTCTTTCAATGCATTACAGGGAGCGCTGACCTCCGCCCCTTGTTTGGGTCTGCCTGACTACCACTACCGTTCCACCTGTACGTCACAGAGAACGGCACAACCTGTGCAGGTGTATTGGCCCAAGAGCATGGCTGTGGCTACCGTCCAGTAGCCTTCTACTCAAAGGTGCTGCCAGCAGTAGTTCAGGGATGCCGGCCTGCCTGAGAGCAGTAGCAGCTTGCTCTATCATGATAAGGACTGCGAGAAGCTCACACTCTCACATGACACTATTCTACACACCAATCACCAGGTCACGACCATTCTAGCAACATAACTACACAACACATGACCGCACAACGTCGCTCAGGTTATGAAGCTACACTGACTCAACAGCAAATCTCACTATAAAAAGCAAGCAGCACACCCAATTCGCCAGCACAACTTACTCATTCGTATGCTGTGTTCCCTCTGACCGACAGGATGGTTCAGACGACCCTGACGATCATGATTGTATGACACGTATACAGGAATCCACAGCACCACGCCCAGACTTAGAGCAGACACCAATCCCAGACTCAGTCATTTATGTGGACGGGTCCTGTTCAAAACCAAATGACAACTCATTTTTTGTGGCTATTCGGTGGTGACATTGCCTGACATCATACTAGAGCTCACTCATTACCATTCACTCAGCACAAAAAAGCAGAGCTCATGGCTTAATACGCGCTGTGAGTTACATGTGGATAAGCGGGTAACAATTTACACTGATAGCCGTTATGCATTCGGTGTGGTGCATGACTTTGGCACATTGTGGAGACAAAAGGATTTAGATCTGCTGATGGAAAATCGATCGCTAATTCTGACCTTGTTCAAAGACTTTGCAGGCTATACAGCTGCCATCGGCAATTGCAGTTGTTAAACGAAGGGCACAGCACGGCTGACACAGACGAAGCAGTGGGAAATGCTCTTGCAGACGTAACCGCGAAAGCAGCTGCTGCCTCACAGCAACCACCCAGAAAGGAAGTATTATCTTTGCCTTTACAGCTGCCACTGTCACGCTCCCAGACTATTTAGAAACAAATGTTGACCTAAAAATTCATACAAGAGCAAGCCTCTGCCTTAGATTACACTACTGGGAAAGTAATGATGTACCTTAGATAACAGAGACGGCTTATACAAAAACCTTGAGGGTTTGATTGCCCTCCCATCTTCACTACTGCCAATCCTTGTCCGCCATTTTCACGGTGTGAGTCATGTCGGACAAAGAGGGTAATAGGAGCAATAAAATCAAGATTTGTAATCGAGAAAACATCACACGCAGTAAAACGCATATTAGCAACTGTCTAACATGTGCACGAACTAATGTAGGAAAACCAAAAGCAAAACATCAGCATTTACCACAACCAGATTTCCCATTTCATACATACAAATTGATTTACACACATGCCAGCACAAGGAAGCATCAAGTACTTACTGGTAATAGTGGACCAATTAGTAAATGGGTAGAAGCTTATCCAACATCAAAAGAAACTGCAGAAGTAGTCTGTCAAAAGTTTGCAATGAAATAATACCCAGATTTGGAATACCTCACCAAATTAACAGTGATAGAGGACCTTCATTTACATCAGAAGTAATTCAAAAGTGTGCTAAAACTCTAGCAATAGACTGGAAATATCATGTACCATACCATCCTCAGAGTTCAGGAGTTGTAGAAAGAATGAATAGGACCATAAAAAATCGCCTGACTAAAGCAATGATAGAAACAGGAATGACCTGGATCAAACTACTTCCTCAAATCCTCTGCGAGATTAGAATGACTCCATCCGCAGCAACCAAATTATCTCCATTTGAAATAATCATGGGAAGACCGTTTCCAACACCATGGTCAGCCTCCAGAGGGCACCGCTATTGGAAGGGACATAGACACTGCATTGTCTGACTATGTTCATAACCTGGTAGAAACACTGAATAATAACTATCAGAAAGTTTGTCTCTCTCAGCCTCTCCCTTCCATAGATCCAACCCATCCGTGGAAACCAGGAGATGCGGTGTTGGTAAAGTCGCTAAAACAAGGGCACTCGGGGAGGCCGCGTGTTCCAGCCCCCAGACTGTACTTGCAGTGACGAGAACCAGCATCCTAACAGACGGACAACCTCAGTGGATTCATGCCAGCAGGGTTAAGACCAGCCCCACCAAACCACCTAAGGCGTCGGATCAAGTAGATGACGACTCAGGCGAGCCAACGCCCGGATCCAATCCACCTACACACCACACAATCACTGATTAACACACAACGCCTGAAAGAACAACAACAAGTACTCGGAACATCCAGCAGGAACAGAAAGCCTAGAGTACCACACAATGTCTAACCTGATAAAGATAGACTCGTTTCATCCTGATAATGGAGAAAATGAAATGCCCATTGTCATCACACGACGCTTATACGGTGTCTCTCGAACCTGGGACCAGGCCAGGAGACGACTAAAGAACTGTCTTTTTTATATATTTAGGTTATTAATCATATCTACTGCATTAACCTTAGGATTTTTATTTACTATTTCGTATTGTAAAGTGCAACCCTGTTCACATTTCTGCAAGCCACATTCTCAATGCTAACCCATATAGCTACTAGTACAGCTACTTCAATGTATTTGCAATTAGCACAAATTGATCCTGAGGATGTGCCAGATGTTACCAATGATGTTCCTGATGTGTATATTGAACATTAGGTTGTGAACTATTACATTTATGATTTGCTTTTTATATTATGTTATTACATTTGTGATTTTTCCTTCTATTTGAGTTATTATTTTTAAAAAATAATAAAAGAGGGGAACTGTTAGGTATTTTAGTACCATGGTAGCATTTACTGGATATTGTTTATAGTGACATTATGCAGGAAATCTCTGTCATTCAATAAGGCCCCTTTGTTTTAGTTATTTTTCTCTTTGACCCAAGAATTGATGTGTGAGAATCACAGGCTGGTACAAGGTTGAAATACCACAGAGATCACTCCCTCAGCTACATTAGTTTCTTAATCTTTTAGACGCCTGTTGAAGGCCAAATGGTTTGTTTCAGTTTTCACTAATGAAAGAACTCTTTGTTTTGTGCCTTGAAAATATGTCGCTGAGATAATCACAATTGTAGCTGAACTGATACACTACACAAAGGATGCTTCTTCACCCAAGGGCAGGAAGACGCTCCCTTATCTTGGTCTGTACTGGTTTAAACTGATAATCTGCTGTCTCATGAATTTTACCCTCTATATAAACTGTTGTACTTGTGAATAAAGTTGAGTCACTTTGGGAAGACAACCTGAAGCAGTCTCTGTTTTCTTGTTCTCCCAAGCTGCTCCCGAGCTCGTACTAACACGCTGAATGGCATGCTTGAATATTACTTGAGAATATATTTGACTGTGTTACAGAACTAAGGACATTCTCTGCTGATAGGTGAAGGTACATTCTCTGCTGATAGACGTCCACGCTCGAAGGAAGTCGATCCACGGATTAGGCCCTGGAAACCGTTTCCTTCAGTTAGTTAGCTTTTTTGCTAACTTTAATAGAGACACTTGGAGAGCTTGCGCAAGACGCCTTAGCGAATCATCTCAATTGTAAAGTTCCGTTAACATCTCACCATGGGATCCATAGTGTCCAGATTACTCAGCAGATTACTCAGAGAAGAGGAAATTGAGGACATTGAAGAAATTAAGAAGGAAACTGGCTTTTCCCACAGGAAGATCACTCGCCTGTACAGACGTTTCACCAGCCTGGATAAAGGGGGAAACGGCACCCTCAGTCGAGATGATTTCCATAGAATCCCGAGTTGGCCATCAACCCTCTGGGAGATATAATCACCAACGGATTCTTTCCTGAGGGAGAGGACCAGGTAAATTTCCGGGGCTTCGTGCGGACCCTGGCTCACTTCAGGCCAATCGACCAAGACAACGAGAAGAACAAGAACCCCTCAGCTACAGAGCCCCTGAACAGCAGAACAAACAAGCTGCTTTTTGCTTTCCGTCTATATGACCTGGACAGAGATGGCAAGATCTCCCGAGATGAGCTCCTGCAGGTCTTGCGGATGATTGTTGGAGTCAACGTTTCAGATGAAGAACTCGGCAGCATTGCTGATAGGACCATCCAGGAGGCTGACACAAACGGAGATGGCTGCATTTCCTTCAATGAGTTATTAAGGTCATGGAAAACGTGGATGTGGAACAGATGATGAGCAGCTGTTCCTGCGATAAAGTTTCATTATTGTTATCATTTTTTTTTTTTGTAATTTGTTTGTGATAAAGTTGTATGAAAGAGTTAGGATAGAAAGTGTTACACAAGTTATTTGAATGTTGCTATTTAAACTATTTTGTACATTTTGTAAAGCATCTCGTACCTCTGCTTTATTGCTGTTGATGCCAAAGAAACACATCAATACATACATCTACATTCAATGCTGGCATTTACAACTTTTAAGGTGATTTTAGACCTTGTGATTATGTTTGTTTGTTTGTTCACCTAAATGAAAAAAGAAGATTCAGTGGCCCTTTCACTAATAAATTGTCTGTATAAATTGTCTGTCAGTTAAAACTTTAAGTTGTTAAAATAAGCAAATAATGTGAAGTTACTTTCAAAATTTTATCATAATCATTAAAATCTCTCCTCCTTTCTTACCTGATGAATGAGGGCTGAAGGTAAAAAGCTGCTCTTTGCCATCTTCTGTTGTTACGTTACACTTAAAGTCAGAGTTAGATATGTGACTGTATAAAGAATTTACAAAAGTCACAGTAGCAGAGCAGGACGACTGTAATGTTTTTATGTTTGAGTAATCTCTATTCAGACCTTCACTGTAATGGATCCACTTCACTTTGTGTTCACAATGTCCATGTACCTGCACAGAGGAGTTTAAAGTCACCTGATCCCTGCTCTTCTGTTCAGTCACTGGTGAAGATAAACGCAAGAAAAATTAAAAAGTATGAATACATTTCTTTTCACTAAATGTAATGTTTCATGATGTTGCTCTAACAACACAGTTTGAACTTCAACATATTGTGGTGTAAATACTCACTGATGACATCAGACAGATAAACCACAGCATCTGGACCTTGCTGTTTCCCTGGATTGCCTCTAAACTGTCTGCAGGTGTAACGACCAACATCCTCAGCTGTGACCTTCTTTATAACCAGTGAACATTCTGCTGTAACACTCAGTCTGTCTGATTTGACTGTTTCTTTGATTTGTCCAAGATTAACCAGCTCTACTGCTGCTTTTCCTCTTGAATCAGTGAAGAGCCAGGTGGTAGTGTCACAGCTGTGATGGTTTTTGATCATGTTTTCACAAGGCAAAGTGACTTTATCTCCATCTCTGACAGTGAAGGAGAGTGAAAGATCTCCACTTAGATCTCCTGAGAATATAACAGAAAAAAAAAAACAATACTTGTCTGAACGGAGACGATTTACATTCTTATTACAAAAGAACTAACAAAAAACTTGATTTGGGTTGTCAAACAAAAGCACAGCTCTCTTGGATTTCAAAATAAAGTAAAACTCAAAAGAAGAAAAAAAATCTCTTACGTGTTACATGTATCCTTACCTTCAAACTGAAGCACAAATATAAAAAAAACACAGACCATGTAATACATCTAGATACACGGAGAGCTTCCTTTAATTAGTGAATCATAATGTCCTCATAAAGACTTTCAGCTTACTCTTAACAACCAGTTCAAAACAAGTTCAGCTGATTTGCTCCACAAAGACTCCAAAGGAGGAATATAAAAATAAATGCAGAAAGCAAACAGAAAGTATCACAGCATAAAAGCTAAAGTAGGTAAAAGAAAATTGATGTAGAAATTACACCTAATAATTGAGACAAAACAAGAGTTTGGTGACTATTGTAACTGAACATACTTATCAATATCAGACGTCTATCATTAAGACAGTGAATTATTCAAAACTACTTCATGCATCTGTTAATCTTAACAATAATCTATTCAGTAAGTTAGATGCTGATAAAGTGTTACAGTAGGAAGAGGTTTTCAAAGCTAATTAATTTTCATAGCGGAAAATGTGTGTTTGAAATTTGTTGTTGAGATTAAGTAAAATAGCAAAAAGGTTTTAGTTGTAAATAAAGGTTTCCTTACCTGAAAAAAGAAGCAACAGAAACAGAGAAATGTTGAAGAATTTGTGTTCAATCATCACGTTTTGTTCTGGTTTTCCTTCTCATTTTGTCACATCTATAACTGGCAAACTCTGTTGTACTTGGCAAAGACACATATCTAGTTTACTTCCTGTCTCCTCCTCATTCAGGCTGTGGTCATTTTCAATGTTATGGTTATTTCTTGTATTTATTTTTTAATGTAGATCATATGAATTCCCTCAGTTTTTCAAATGTGTAGACCCCTTCTCAACCAAACTGACAACTGCAGTCTTACTAATTTTGGTGGAGGTAAATAAGAGTAATTTTATAGGATATTAAATAATGTGTTGTAGAGTTTCCTGTCTTATTTTGTTGAGCATGTGTTTGTATAGGAATTTCTTTTACTTATGTATTAATCACATTATTTTATTGTATAATGCCTTGGTGCCACTGGATTTTAACATGTCTGACACCCATACTGTAAGACAAATGGTGGAGGTGTTGTAAGGAAGTGTGAAGTATCTTGGTGTCCACATCTCCTCAGACCTGACATGGGCTGCCCACATTCAGGTCCAGACCAAAAAGGCTAGGCAGCGCCTGTATCACCTACGACAACTGAGGAAGTTCAGGGTCTCTCCAAAGATCCTCAGGATTTTCTATACAGGCGCTGTGGAGAGCATCCTCACACAGAACATGACATCGTGGTTTGGGAACAGCTGTGTGAAGGACCAAAAAGCTCTCCAGAGAGTGATCCGTACAGCAGAACGCTGCTGCAGGATTGCTCTCCCCCCGCTTCAGGACACCTACACCAGGAGATGCCGGACTAGAGCAGCGCAGATACTGAAGGACCCGTCCCATCCTGGCAACAAACTGTTCCAACTTCTGCAATCTGGTAGAAGGTTCCGCATCTTCCGGGCAAGGACAGAGAGACTCAAGAGGAGCTTCTATCCCCAAGCCATCCGTGCCCTAAACACACACACCCGCCCTCTCACATCATCTATAATTGACTGAGACAGGACTCTTCCAGACACTAAACCAAGGCACAATGTACATTTCAATTCCTTTAATTTTAAATATGTTTATATTGTCTATCCTGTAAAATAGTCAGATGTCTATTCATATTAATGTACAGAATTCACCTGCTTGCTGCTACTACTGCACATTCACCCAATGTATATATATATATATATAATGTTCTTCCTCTACATCCCCCCCCCCCCCCCCCAATTTTTGCACATGTCGAGGAGCGTGTCAGGCTACATTTCACTGTGTGTTATACTTGTATAACTATGCATGTGACAAATAAAGAACCTTGAACCTTGAACCTTGAAGGGAGTGTGAACCTTAATGTGTGAAACAGCTGTGTACTGCCTTTTGTTCCTGAAGAAGGTATTTAACTGAGAGCCATGCTGGGCTCAGTGAGACTCTGCTGACCTGCCCCGCGGTCATGTAGGCTCTCCACAAGCTTGGTTTTCTGTTCTTTGTGTGTTTGGATTAAAGAATGTTAGCTACCGCTCACCGCTCGTCTGCAGGCTTTATTTAAATGGAAAACCTCCACAACATGTTCCATGTGTGCATTGTCTTGGGTTTTGCTTCCTTTGTTCCTTTGTTTTCCTTTACTCCAAAGTGACCTTATCTCCGTCTCTGACAGTAAAGGAAAGAGAAAGATCTACTAAGAATATGCCAGAGAAGTAGAAATGTCACCATTACTTTTCAGAGTGCAGATTAATGACATACTTAAGCAGAGAGAGTTTGAATTTGGATGTTTATTTTTTCATCTTTTGGACTGCAACTATTTTAATTTGCTTTGCTTAAAGAAACATCACTGGCATCTTATTTACATAAAGAACACTCATTTATGAAAAAATAAAATATGAAAAAAAAAGTTCTTCATTTTCTATTGTATTGTTTTTTAAACCAGTTAGTGTATGTGTCTATTTGGTAGCTTAGTTTCTTGCAATTATTATACAGCACCCCCTTCTGGACAACAGTAATTGTTACAAAAATAAATGAAGCTGGTTGTTACATGGGGAACTTCAGCCTAACATCTTCCATTATACACTCCAGTAGACATAAAACTAATAACAAAACAGTGATGTTGATTGAAAAGTGTGTATCCAAAACAAAAGCCAAACTTTTATTGGGGCAAGGAAAAAACCAACAGGGACCAGATAACAATATCCATCAAACAAAGCTGAATATACAACAGGAAATCTCATAAGCAGACAGACAGTAAGCATCAAACAGAATGAGTGGTTACACCCACAGGAAATGAAAGGGAAACAAACACTGCCGCAACTAATCGATTAAGCAAGTATACACTCCAGCAGCAACGTGTGTTTAAATACACAACAGGTAATGAAGGAAGGTAAAGTAGATGGGAAATCAAACACTGCTGCGACTAATCAAGGAGGCAAATACAAAGGAAGTGAAATTTATTAGAAAGTGCAGGCAACAAAAATAAAACTGTAAATAAAAGAGAACAATCCAAAAAAGACAGAACAGAAAATATAATAGAAAATATAATATATAAATCTAAATAATATAATATCCAATATAATTCCAAACTGAAAACACTGTTGTTGGGTTTCCTATTGTTGTATTTTGTCTATACACCCTTGTGGTTAAAAAAACACCTAAGGTCCAAAAACCTTTGCAGGTTCAGGGAAAGTTCATTAGTCCTGGTTAAAGTAATATACTTGGGTATGGTTGTGGTCATGACTGTAACTTTACTGAACAACTGTTTTCACTGACTTCACAGATGACAATAAGCTTGTCATGTAATGAAATAAATGTATTTGTTCAATGTTATTGATCTGATCAAGGTCTAAATAATCCAACACTAAACTTTGATCGGAGCAGGTGCTTAAATCTGTTCAACACTGACCTGTGCTGTTATTTACTTTTTTGGGCCACTTTCCAAGTCAGTCAATGGGAAAAACATCCACCGTCCACCTTTTCCACCATGTGTCACTTTGCACTTCAAAATCTCCAACAATTGTTGGATTGGTAAATATGATCAGATGTTGTAAAGGTCACACTAGCTGAGCAGGTAGACTGTGATATCCACACGCCATTGTCATTGTTATATAGTCATTTCACAGTGTATTTGTATTCTTCATATGTGGACACAGAGCAGTTTAATGTCACTGTGTGTGTAGCCTGTGTGTCCTTTAGATATTCTAAACTTGCAGTGGATATTGTCTCCTTTCACTTTAACTCTCATATGTATGTGTCCTGATTTATGATCAATCTCAGGTGTCTTGAACTGAATTTCTTCATTTAGATAAGTTTAAGATAAGAGATAAGATAAGATAGAACTTTATTAATCCCTCGGGTGGGTTCCTCTGGGAAATTCGACTTCCAAAGAAAAGCACAGCAACGACCGAAGTTACAGTTACAAAAAGAGAATTGTTATATATACACACACACACACACACACACACACACACACACACACACACACACACACACACACACACACACACACATATATAAATACAGAGACAAATATAAATAAAATATACAAAGGGGATAAATAGAATAAATAGGAATAAAAAAATAAAAATACAAGTGAATTGCACATTTCAAGTATTGAATCTATTGCACCGTTGACTATTTACAAAAGTATTGCACAAAAGGTATTGCACAGTGAGGTGAAGAGGCACTACAGCTTAGTTGTTCCCCCCTCCTTTGTCCTCCTGTTTCCCCTCCCTCTCCCCTCCAGAGAGGAGTTAAACAGTCTGATGGCGTGTGGGACAAAGGAGTTTTTAAGTCTGTTAGTTCTTGTCTTGGGGAGAAGCAACCTGTCACTGAACAGACTCTTCTGATTGTTTATGGCCGTGTGCAGAGGATGCCCAGCATTGTTCATAATGTCCAGCAGTTTCTTTAATGTCCTTTTCTCTGCCACTGTCACCAGAGTGTCCAGCTTCATGCCGACCACAGAGCTAGCCCTCCTGATCAGTTTCTCCAGCCTGGATGAGTCCTTCTTTGCTGTGCTGCTCCCCCAGCACACCACAGCATAGAAAAGTACTCCAGCAACCACCGACTGGTAAAACATCCTCAGGAGCTTCCTGCAGATGTTTTTTTTTTTTTTTTTTTTTTTTTTTTTCTGCCTGTCCCATTTGGTTCTTTAGCCATCAGAATTGTTGTCTGAAGACCAACAAGGATACCCAATGGATTTACTTTGCCAAATGGATCATCGTGGCATTGCCGTATTGGTCCATTTGGTCGATCATTGTTTTTATTATTTATTATATTTTATTTTCAGATGTTACAGACGGGACAGACATGAGTGAGGGATAGGAAAGGAAGAAAGAAAGAGGAAGGAAAGGAAAAACAGAAGGGGAGAGGGACAGTGAGAAAGGGGGGGAGAAAAAAAATAAAAATCTCCTGGATCACCTGTTGAGAGAAAAATAGAAAACAAGCAAAAAAAAACAAAGCAACATACTAAACACAACACCATCGCATTAATCTAGCTAAGTGTAAACAGCAGTAAATACTAAATATTCAATGTTGTTGTGCAGCACGCAGGACAGATGTGCTTCGAAGTAGCGGCCAAGAAAGGTGTAATTTGGGTCTACGAGCAGTGAACACCCGTGTGTACACCTGTGTGGATCAGCATGCTTGTATTCCAAAGGTTTCTCCATGTAACGATCTGCTAGGGAGTGTGGGGGGCCACAGCCCCGTCCTCCAGGGTGTGAAGCGGGTATGGAGGAGGTCAAACTCTCGACATCCAGAGGCCCCCAGAACACAAGAGACCATGGAAGACCAACAGAGGGGCAGCCGCGGAGCAGAAGCCAGGGGAGTTGCAGTGACGCGCCCATGAGCTCCGCCGGCCCCCAGCTGCGCCTGAGTGACCGAGCCCCAGGCCGAGAGGCCGGGGGCACCCCACCTCCGAAGGGCCCGAGCGAGCCCCAGGCTCCAGGCCCGATAAGCAGCCGCCAAGGAGTGAGCCGGTGTGTACCTGGACGCCCATCCCCGGACACAAAGAACCACCAATGCACCGACACCTGAGGGAGTCCGCCACCGGCAGGGGAAGTGGTGGTGGGAGATAGGCCTCCAAACCTTGGAGGGCCTGAGGTGTCCCCAGAGAGGTGGCGTCTGATACCCAACCTGACATATAGACCCAGACATACAGGCACACACAGACACAAACATTCATTCCCACCCTCATGCTCTCATGTGCACTTACTCCACACTCAACCAACGTGGAGACAGACATAAAGAGACGCTGTACACACGATCACACTCCCCAAGCGTACTCTACAAACCGGGTCTAGGTACCCTTGCCCCTGGAGGGGGGAACTGCACCCAGACCCAGGTGGTGTTACCCTTTTCCCTGCGGTGGGGAGAGGCAGACCACCCCGACTCCGTAGCAGCAGGGAGGCCCCACACCCCAGACCGCAGTCGGACGGCCAACTCCTCCTAGCCCTCCCGCTCCAGCAGGCCGCAGAGAATGGGGGTGGGAGAAGATTCCAAACCTCCCTCCACCCGCTCATTGTAGTGTTGATGCATGTGTTCTAAGGTGCAATTAAAACCCAGGAGGGCATGGAGCTACCTGCCAAGGAGCAGCAGGTAAGTGCATGGTCCCTCCTGCTAGCCCTCAATGTCTAAGTGTATTTAAAATTGAGAGGTGGGCAACGACGCCAGGGGTGAGGTGTACACCCTGATGGTAATTTGGACTCCGTGATTGTTCCCACCCCCAAGATCCTAAATGTATGTGTAATGAGAGTGTGAATAATGTGAATGTCTAAGTTGTGGGATAAAATTGAGGCAGAGGCAGCCAGAAGGGGACGGGGGGGGGGGGGGGGGTAGCCTCCTCCGCACCCTGGTGACATACCCCTACTCCAAGGCCTGCATGTGTGGGTGGTTGTGGTGGAGCGGGAAGAGGGAGGCAGCTGGAGATGGGGAGGGAAGGAAGGGAGGGGCAGGTAACCCCTCCCTGGGGCCAGCTCCCCCGCTGACCCCAGTAGGCACTCCCATACTCCGCGACCCGCCAGGGAAAGGGGGCTCAGGCCCAACCAGACCGGGGCCCAGTGCAGCAGCGCCCCCGGCCCCACAGAGCCCGGGACAGTCCACCCAACCCCACCACAGAGAAAACTGCACCCACCCCACCATCCACTCATCTTCCAGACTACATAAGACAGTAAACGCCCAGGCTGAGATCTTCCTCCACCTCTCCTGTATCTCCCCCTCCTGCAGAGAGAGTTCCTGAAGAGAGGAGAGCTCCTGCAAGATGTGACCATCTCCCCCACCAGTTGAAGAGCCCCCCAGGTGGCTCGACGCACCGGCGGCACCCTGCTCCAGGGCCGGGCCCCCATGCACCCACCCGCCCACAACCCGGCAACACACCAACCAGGACCCAAGCCCCAAGGCCCGGCCCGGGCCCCGGCCCAGAGACGGAGCACCCCTAGAACCTCACGCCCATCCCGGACCCACCCAGGGGCAGCCAGGCTACCAGGTCAGTAACCCACGTCCATCAGCACAGACCCTCCCCTAGCCCCGCTGCACGCAGCCGCGAGGAAACAGTCACCTGAGAGCCAACAGAGCCCCCAACCGGACATGACCGCTACCCCGGGTTGAGCCCCCCAAGGAAGTTGCCTCTGGGGAACCCCCCGACGCCCCAAGCCTGTCCCTACCCCCACACCGATCACAACAGTGAAGGCGGGACCAAACTATGACCCCCCACCCCCACTAGGTGATGGAGCTGATAAAAGGAGCCCAGAGCAATTGATCTGATGTGGTGGCAGAGGCTGTATCAAGACTAATGTAATCTAATAGATAATTTCTATATTGGTTAGAATTAAGATTATTTTTATTTTTCCAGTTCATGAGGACTGTTTTCTTGGCTATGCATAGGGCAGTGAAGATCATATGGGCTATATTCTTTTCTGAAGTGACATTATCTAAGCTGCCCAGTAAACACACTAAGGGGGAAGTTGGAATGTTACATTTCAGACACTTTGATAAGTCTTCACATATCTCGCGCCAAAACTTTTGCACTGGTGGACAGAACCAAAGAGCGTGGATGTAATTGTCTGGTGTATTGCCTTGACAGTGTGAGCAGTTGTTGGAAGATGTAAAGCCCATCTTGAACATCTGATGACCTGTATAGTGCACTCTATGAAGTATTTTGTATTGTATTAATTGCAGACTGGGATTTTTAATTAATTTAAAGGTTTTTGAGCAAATCTGAGACCAGAAGTTTTGGTCTAAGCTGACTGATAAATCTGCTTCCCACTTTGCAATAGGAAGGGATATTGATTCATCTAATTTAGAAAGTGTTCTGTATATTTTAGATAATAATTTGGGGGATTTAAGAGTAAGAAAATGTGCCGCACTTAGTGGTGTTTGTAATTCAACTTGACTGAGGTTAAATTTCTTTTTTACTATGGATTTAATTTGTTGATATTCTAAAAATCTTGTCTTGTTGATCCCATATTGTGCAACTAGTCTGTCAAATGGAATAAATTCTGTTCCCTCTAATATATGTTCTAAGTATTTAATTCCTTTACAACTCCATTCTGGGAAATTAATCATATTATTGTTTTGTAATATGTCAGGGTTATTCCAGATAGGTGTACGTTTGCATGGGATTAATGAAGACTCCGTTATTTTTAGAAACTCCCACCATGCTGTCAGAGAAAAGCTGATGTTGATACTTTTAAAGCATTCATGTCTTTTGATGTTTGAGCTAATAAATGGTAGGTCTGAAATCTTTAGATCCTTGCATAGTGCCTGTTCAACATCTAGCCAAGGCTCAACTAAGAAGGTATGTTTTAACCATTCTGAGATGAACTGAAGCCTGTTGGCTAAGAAGTATTGATGAAAATTAGGCAGATCTAATCCTCCTCTATCCTTGGTTCTTTGTAGCGTTTTTAAGCTGATACGCAGGGGTTTATCTTTCCAAAGGAATTTGGAAATATATGAATCCAGAGATCTGAACCAATCTTGTGATGGTTTGTTAGGGATCATCAAAAATAAGTAATTTATTTTTGGCAAGATCATCATTTTTATAGTGGCGACCCTTCCCATGAGTGATATGGGTAAAGATTTCCATCTAGTCAGATCGCCTTCTACTTTCTTTAGAAGTGGGATGTGGTTTAGTTTAGTTAAGTCTGAAAGCTTAGGAGAGACATTAATACCTAAATATTTAATATTTCCGGATTGCAGTGAGGCAGAGGAAGAATTATGGAAGGAGCAGTTAATGGGGAGAACTGTAGATTTTGGCCAGTTAATTGAATAATCTGAAACTCTTGAAAACCAGTTTATTAGAGTAATTACCTCAGAGAGGTTGGTTTGTGTGTTTTGCAGAAAAAGCAACACATCATCCGCATAGAGACTGATTTTATGTTCTATGTTCTTACATTTTATGCCCTTAATTGTTGTAGCCTGTCTAAATGCTGCTGCTAGAGGTTCGATAAAAATTGCATCCCTGTCTGGTGCCCCTCAGGAGACAGAAGCTGGAGGATGTCTGGTCATTTGTTCTGATACGAGCTGTTGGGGAATTGTATAATATTCTTATCCAGTTTATGAAAGAGTTTCCAAAACCAAATTTGTGTAAAGTTGCAAATAAAAATTTCCAGTTAACTCTGTCAAATGCTTTTTCTGCATCTAGAGATAATATTATGGCTTCGATGTTTTTATCGTATGAGTAGTCTATTAAATTAAGTAATCTACGAGTGTTTGTTGAGGAGTGCCGACCTTTTATGAAACCAGTTTGGTCAGGATGAATTAAGAGGGGGGTCATTTTCTCTAATTTCTTTGAAAGAGCTTTGCAGATTATTTTAAGGTCTACATTTAAAAGAGAAATTGGACGATAGCTTGAGGGAAATACAGGGTCTTTCTGCAGATGTTTAAAGACCTCAGCCTCCTGAGGAAGTACAGTCGGCTTTGGGCTTTTTTATACAGGTGCTCTGTGTTGCATGACCAGTCCAGTTTATTGTCCACCCACAGCCCGAGGTACTTGTACTTGTTGACCACCTCCACCTCCTCCCCATCTATCTGAACCGGCAGTGGACCTTCTCTGGACCTCCCGAAGTCCACAACCAGTTCCTTAGTCTTTGAGGTGTTGAGTTGCAGGTGGTTTGTGTGACTCCATGCGACAAAGTTCCTCACCAGACTTCTGTACTCCTCTTCCTGATCATCCCAGATACACCCCATGATGGCCGTGTCATCTGCATCTGTTTAAGCCCTTTGTGAAAAAACCTGCTCACCAGAGGGAAGGTTTGTTGTCAGTAGAGAAATGCAACCAACATAATAAAACTTTCTCATTCATTCATGTAAAATTGTGTTTTTCATACAGGTAAAGACATATCCTCCCACTCTGATGCCTGATTCCATTTAATCCTGCTTTTGATGCTTAGAGTAATGAGACACAAATGTTTGAATAATTGTTTATGGAAAAAATGAAACTAAACTTATAAATTACTGCAGTTTTAGAAAATTTACAGGCAAATAGCAAAATAAACACATCTATGTACATCATTTCAAAACTTTGAACAAAAGATAAAATAAAACTGAAAGCCTTTCAAATGTTACAAATTCTGCTCTTTAAGCACTCACACAACTGCTTCCTCCTTTTAAACTGAGCAAACCGATAATTCTTATAGGGACGAAGCTTTTTCACAGAAGCAATGACCTGATGATTAAGTTTCCTTTTTGTTTACTCTATGGTAGCATAGAGGCTGCTGGGATCTGTGGAGGAAGCTTTCACAGTGGAGTAGGTAACTGTCTCATCACTCTCACATTTATCCCGAACCTGGAAGCACACAGACCACAGGATGTTTCACCACATGTAACACAACACAGTGAAAACATCATTTACTAATGCACCGATGAAGCCAGAAACATATCATATGCATTACTTTATTTTCACTGTTAGCCTTGTTGGTGTAGCTGATGGAGATGTAGGAAACACCATCTTCATGATCCGCCTACACAGTAAAGAAAACATGATTACTGCCCTCTGAGATGCAGGAGGATCTACACTGACCCGTCTCTGCCAACGATGTCAAAATTTGTTACCACTTCTTTTGGCTTAGTTTGACAGCAACAGTTCACTTCCCTTCAGTTTGAAATCTATCTCTTGCACAGTCTCATGTTGTAAAGTTAGTTTTATAATGTTGAAGAACAAATGCAAACAGCAGAAGTTGTGAGTTTGACCTTATTATTTTCTAAATGACTGAAGGATTTGAAGTCAAGCCTGAATAAATATATGCATTACATCAGTGCAACTTCCAGTTACTTTTGAGTGTTTAAACATCTGCAACAATCATAGATAGATAATGACATAAAACACATAAAATGCAACACAAAAGTCCAACTACCAGTACCATAGGGTCTTTTTTGTGACCAGAAAGGACTTTGCACATAGGCTGAGGTCATTTTTGGAGTTAATAATTATAAAATCAAAGCAAAAATGAATTTTGCACCCTCTTTTTTCTTTTCTTGATCTTTTGCTGCACCAACCACTGCATCACTTCTGATCTAGAATTAAAATGTTTAGTAAAGATTATTTTTAAACTCACATTTTCATTGGCTTGTGTTTTGGTCCCTGAAAAGAAAAGAAAAACAGGATTACACACTTGACCACAGAGAAGATTCAGCTTTAATATTTAATGTGGGATTTTCTCTCACCTCTCTTCAGTACAATCAGTTTCACAGCAAAGATTAAAAGTGCTGCTGAAATAACAGCCACGAGGATGTACGGCCACACCAGAGCTGCACCTGAACACAAATATCTGAAGCTTTTCATTTACTGTTCAATGTCTAAGAGGTAGAAAAGTTGCAAATATGACATGCATGTGACTTAACAAAAAACTATTCAATCATTGCTTTGAACCCCCCCAAAAAAAAACAAAAAAAAAAAGAAAAATCACCTGGGTCATCAGTCTGTGATGTTGTTCTTGATGTTCTTGTTGTTCTTGTTGTTGTTACTTTTCTTGTTGTTGTTGTTGTTGTTGCTGATGTTACTGTATCTGTCACAGGCTGAGTCTCCGACCCAGCACTTTGAGCTTTCTTTGTATTGTTCTCATTTTTTGAGATGTTGTTAGTTTTGTGGTATTTCCTATTTGCCTTTAGTTTAGGCAGTTATTGTTCCTGGGTTTTCTGTTTGAGTTCTTGCATTATTCATCACGTATTTGGTATGTTAAGTTTGTATTGTCATGTCTAGTTTTAGTGTTTCCTGTTTTATTCTGACAGTGTCATGTGTTCTTTGGTCATTGTATTTAGTTTCACTCCTCCTGGTCCTGTCATTAGATTCATGTCAGTCAGCTGTTTCCTCATGTGTCGCCACTTCCCCTGATCACCTCATGTCTGTATTTAAGCCTTTTGTTTTCTTCATGCCATTGTCAGTTCGTCTGTTTATTCTCACCAGAGTCATAGTCATAGCCTGTTTATTTTTCCACCTCGGTCATAGTTATAGTTTTTGGTCTTAGTACCTTTAGTGTTTTGTTTCTTAGTGTTTTGTCAGTTCAGTGTTTTGCTTCTTAGTGTTTTGCCTGTTTGCTTTGGTCTCTTGGTTCATTTCCTGCCGTCATCGCAATAAAGTTCACTTTTCTGTTAATCATTACTATTCTCGTCATCATCTGCTTTTGGGTCCTGTTTCCGCACACATCGGCGCACCCCGCCGTGACAGAACGAACTGACCAGTCATGGACCCAGCGGATTCTGCTCTCACCGGAGTGTCTGGAGGAGACTGCTCGGATCCAAGCGATCCTCGACCGCTTCTTTACAGCGCCCGATTTGAAGAGCAAGCTAGTAATGATCAACGCTGCTGAAGCTATTATGGAGAGGGATCCCCGCCTTCTCCAGCTCCCGGACTCACCTGCCATCGTTGATGCCTTTACGAGGATAAAGGAGATGCTGCAGGCCCAGGGACTGTCGAGTCAGGAAATGGCTTCCAGCACCCACCAGTCACAACAACCCCACAATCAGTCATCTCCATTGCTGCCTCCGGAACCTGAGTGTGTTTGTGTCGGTTCGCTGAGATTCGCCGGCAGCGTCACCACCTCTCAGCTCACCAGTTTCCACGCCCCTCATCACAGTCTCGCCATACTCCTGTCACAGTTCAGCGCGAGGAAGCGCCGCACACCATAGACTTGGACGACGACGAGCGCCAGTCTATATTCTGCGCTCTCTTGGAGGAGGAGCTCCGGTGGAAGCCGTGGCTCATTCCGGAGCACGAGCACTCTTTCCGGGGAACTCGACTGGCTCTCGGGGACCTCGGAGTTACCAGGGACTTCCACCCATCGCTCCGCCGTCTTCCACTCCTAAGAAAAAGCGGCGTGCGCGCCACCGACGCTCCGTATCACAAACGCAAGTGAGTGATTACATTTTGGCTCCTCATGTTTTCTCTCAGGAAGTTGTTGAAATTGACACTACTTTCCGGTTAATGAGCCCGCTATACAGAGACTGTTTGCCCTGGAAAAGCTAGCCATCAGGCTCAGCTAAGCTGCTGTGGTACTGCTATCCAGGCCGGTCTGGAGCCAGAGACGGGGGTACAGCTGGTGCGGCCAATTTCAGTGTCAGCCGGAGGGCCCGGGGAGCCCGTCCAGCCTCATGCTTCATCTGCTGGAGGTTCAGGAGAACCCAGCCAGCTTCATGTCTCGTCTGCTGGAGGTTCGGGAGAACCCAGCCAGCTTCATGTCTCGTCTGCTGGAGGTTCGGGAGAACCCAGCCAGCTCATGTCTCGTCTGCTGGAGGTTCAGGAGAACCCAGCCAGCTTCATGCTTCGTCTGCTGGAGGTTCAGGAGAACCAGCCAGCTTCAGCTTCGTCTGCTGGAGGTTCAGGAGAACCCACCAGCCTCATGTTTCGTTTGCTGGAGGTTCAGGAGAACCCAGCCAGCCTCATGCTTCGTCTGCTGGAGGTTCAGAAGAATCCAGCCAGCTTCATGCTTCATTTGCTGGAGGTTCAGGAGAACCCAGCCAGCTTCATGTCTCGTCTGCTGGAGGTTCGGGAGAACCCAGCCAGCTTCATGTCTCGTCTGCTGGAGGTTCGGGAGAACCCAGCCAGCTTCATGTTTCGTCTGCTGAAGGTTCAGGAGAACCACATCAGCTCGCCATGTCCAGCCTCACGCCACGTTGCTGGCGGGCCGAGGAGCCCGTCCAGCCTACGCCACGTCTGCTGGCGGGCCGAGGAGCCGTCCAGCCTCACGCACGTCTGCTGGCGGGCCGAGGAGCCGTTCAGCCTCACGCTTCGTCAGCTGGAGGGCCTGAGGAGCCCGTCTGGCCACCTTCTGCTTCACCACCTGTGGCTGCCTCACTGTCACCTGGTTCTGCCTCTGCTACGCCAGGACCAGCTCCAGCCTGTGCTTCGTCAGCCGCAGCTCCAGCCTGTGCTTCGTCAGCCGCAGCCTCAGAGTCTTCGTCCTCGCCTGGTCCGGCTTCAGCCTCAGAGTCTTCGTCCTCGCTGGAGCAGGAGCAGCTTCTGCATCAGCTGCTCCTGCTCCACTGGTCCGGCTCCGGCATCAGCTGCTCCTGCTCACCTGGTCCGGCTCCGGCTTCAGCCTCAGAGTCTTCGTCCTCGCCTGGTCCGGCCTCGGCTTCAGCCTCAGAGTCTTCGTCCTCGCCTGGTCCGGCTTCTGCATCAGCTGCTCCTGCTCCACCTGGTCTGGCTCCGGCTTCAGCCTCAAGAGTCTTCGTCCTCGCCTGGTCCGGCCTCGGCTTCAGCCTCAGAGTCTTCGTCCTCGCCTGGTCCGGCTTCTGCATCAGCTGCTCCTGCTCCACCTGGTCCGGCTCCGGCTTCAGCCTCAGAGTCTTCGTCCTCGCCTGTCCGGCTTCTGCATCAGCTGCTCCTGCATCAGCTGTTCCTGCTCCACCTGGTCCGGCTCCGGCTTCAGCCTCCGAGCCTTCGTCCTCGCCTGGTCCGGCTCCGGCATCAGCTGCTCCTGCTCCACCTGGTCCGGCTCCGGCTTCAGCCTCAGAGTCTTCGTCCTCGCCTGGTCCGGCCTCGGCTTAGCCTCAGAGTCTTCGTCCTCGCCTGGTCCGGCCCTCGGCTTCAGCCTCAGAGTCTTCGTCCTCGCCTGGTCCGGCTTCTGCATGCTGCTCCTGCTCCACCTGGTCGGCTCGGCTTCAGCCTCAGAGTCTTCGTCCTCGCCTGGTCCGGCCTCGGCTTCAGCCTCAGAGTCTTCGTCCTCGCCTGGTCCGGCTTCTGCATCAGCTGCTCCTGCTCCACCTGGTCCGGCTCCGGCTTCAGCCTCAGAGTCTTCGGCCTCGCCTGGTCCGTCCTCGTCAGAGTCTTCGGCCTCGCCCGGTCCGTCCTCGTCAGAGTCTTCGGCCTCGCCCGGTCCGTCCTCGTCAGAGTCTTCGGCCTCGCCCGGTCCGTCCTCGTCAGAGTCTTCAGCCACGCCCGGTCCGGCCTCTGCCTGTGCTTCTGCTACGCCCGGTCCGGCCTCTGCCTGTGCTTCTGCTACGCCCGGTCCGGCCTCTGCCTGTGCTTCTGTACGCCTGGTCCGGCCTCTGCCTGTGCTTCTGCTACGCCTGGTCCGGCCTCAGCCTCTGCTTCTGCTACGCCTGGTCCTGTGCCCTCCAAGCCTCGGCCGGTACGCCTGACACTTGGGCGCCGCCGCCGCCTTCCGCACGGCCGGCCACCTGAACTGTTTCTACGCTGTTGCCGTCCGCACGGTCGGCCGCCTGAACTGTTTCTACGCCGTTGCCGTCCGCACGGTCGGCCCCCTGAACGGTTTCCATGTCGCCACCATTGCCGTCCGCACGTCGGCCCCTGAACGGTTTCCATGTCGCCACCATTGCCGTCCGCACGGACGGCCCCCGAACTGTTCGACCATGGACTTCTGTGCCGTCGGCCTCCGGGCGGCCCCTGATCACATGAACTATGATTTTCTGGACCGTCACCTCCGGGTCGGCCCCCTGAGGAGTCATGAACTGTTCCCTGCGCTCCTGTGATTTTGATGGACGTTTTGTTTTTGGTTTTTTTTGGCCTTGTTTCTGATCAAGTGCTGTCTGCGTACAGACTGGTCTTCCCACACGTGTATTCATTAAAATCATTGTTTGACCAAGATCTTCTGGACCTGGTTGTTTGTACTCTCCTTCCTCAATGTTTGAACCTTAACAGACTGTATGATGACTTTATAAAAGTAACAGCAGCAGAGCAGGACGACTGTAATGTTTTTAAATTTGAGTAATCTCTATTCAGACCTCCACTGTCATGGATCCACTTCAGTTTGTGTTTACACCGTTCATATGTCCACACAGAGCAGTTTAAAGTCACTTGATCAGTGTTCTTCTGTTCAGTCACTGGTGAAGATTCGAAGAAAAAAGCAAACAAACAAACATTTAAAAAAAAAAATAAATGTAAGGTGTTAGCATATTGTTTAGTTGTTCACAGCTTGTAAGTACTGGTGGTCTGGTGTGGTATAAATACTCACTGATGACATCAGACAGATAAACCACAGCATCTGGACCTTGCTGTTTCCCTGGATTGCCTCTAAACTGTCTGCAGGTGTAACGACCAACATCCTCAGCTGTGACCTTCTTTATAACCAGTGAGCATTCTGCTGTAACACTCAGTCTGTCTGATTTGGCCTTTTCTTTGATCTGTCCATGATTAACCAGCTCTACTGCTGGTGTGCTTCTTGATTCAATGAAGTGCTTCTTCAGAGCTTCATGTCTGGTTTATCAACCCTTCTTGCTTATGTGTGAACATTCTCACCAGCTCTTGTCCAGATGTTGATGACCACAACAGCTGCTATAAGTGCTGCTAAACCCAGAGGCACTATGATGAGCCTGTACCAGCATGAGCCTGGAGACAGAGCATGAAAAGCATGAAAATAATATTTTAAATGTCATTTTCTGATTGTTTTTTAATGTAGATGAATACAGAGGAAAAAAAACATGTATCTGAAATTAAAACATTTCATTCTAAAATATAGAAATATTGAAAAAAAAAGCTGAATATTGTTGATTACCTTGTAATTTTGTTGAATCATCCATGATTTCCAGCTCTTTTGTTGTGTTTCCAGTTGTAGTTTCTGATTTTATTGTTGTTGCAGTATTTGATTTCTCACCTGAATAAAATTCA